AATTGGAAGAAAAATGTTGCCAGTAAGTTCTTAAAACTGTTTTACGCTGAGAAAATTTTGCTATTGGTTAATCAATTTCATGACTCAGTTCGAAACCTATTTCTAACGGTAACTTTAACGGATAATTTCTGTTATTGTTTTTTAGTTGACAAGTTCTGATGTAAAATTTAAACTTTTATTACATTGCTGGGTAATTTGGATGTCGTTTTTAAGTTAATATGGCTACAAAAGCTGCTTATTTAGAACATTATCTAGATAGTAAGTTTAATTTTTCTAACATAAGCTTTAGAGATTGATATATTTGTTCTATGATTTTATATATTCATGAATAATTTTGAAAACCATGTAATCTGAAGAAGAATTTGAATAAAACTGAATTACTCTAACTATAGCTATATAAGTTTCTAACAGAATAATCAGAAATGAACAGAGATTTTTTTTCCTTCATTTAATTTGTGATGATTTTCTGAAATATTACTGTATAAAATGTTATCTTGTAAAAAATTGACATTTATTATGATCTTAAAACTGAATTTATTTTTATAAAGATTCACGGAATTAAAAAATTCATTTTTTGTTAGTGAACTTAAATCAATTTTAATCTTATTAAGTTGATTTTAGAGTTAGCCATTTAATATGTAGTATGGTAAAGGAATTATATTTTTTGCTAAAGTGTGTTCCTTGCTTTCATCTGTTCCTTTAATTTGGCTGTAATGACAATGACCTCTTAAAATGACAATCACAGTGACCATTTCTGCCATAGAAAATTAGGACTTTTTTCCCCTTTTTTTTTGCCTGTTGAAGGTTAGCAGTATCAATAATTCTATTATGGCTTCTTTAAACCCTTGTACAGTGCTGGTTAAATTGCCAGCAGTTAGCAAAGAATGTGCCTGATATTTTTTTCTTGATGCATATGGAGTTTTTCTGTCGATTTATGCCAAAACGAAAAAGTTGATTAACTAAATGCCTCAATGGTTGACTGCTTGATTTGGCAGCATATTCTTTGGCAAAAACTACACAATATGTACAGTAAAGGAAGCACTTCCGTAAAGAACCCTGTAAATGTAAACATCGCCAACATTGGCGATAATAGTTCAAAACCTAGTATCCACAGTAAATGCTATCTTCAATTTTAGAATAACAGTAAATTATATTGACACTTTTCTTCACCTTTTTCAGTACCAAATGAAGAGCTTGAAAACATGTGTGTGGCTGTTGGCATCCAAAATTTTCTAAGAACAAACATTTTTTGTTCCCCACTTAATTTAGGTTGATGCAGTTTACTACAATATGAACATCTGATTTTTGATTTACTGAAATCTTGTTTATTGTTGAAACTGTAAGAGATGTTTTTTTATATCGTTTTCAGTGTTGCCATCTTTTCAAAATTATTGACCGAGACATTTTAAAATTAACATTTGATTAAAAAAATATTTATAGTAAGAAGAAAATGAATATTTTTGGATTCGAAGGTAAACATGTAATGTTATTAACCTTCTGAGTGGCCCGGGCTTTTTGGATCTGTCGTGAAGACCTGTATTTAAAGAGGCTTTATTAGCTAAATATGTATGTTTAATTATTTTAGTCTCTATTTTAATAAACTTACATCCATCAAAATGGCATTTATATTATTAATTAAAGTAAGAAAGCAAAATGTCTTAAATTATAAGCTAATACAGTACAAAGTCAGTAATCCGGACTTGTTAGGATTTCGGCAATTCCGGATCAGAGTTTTTTCCAGATTATAGATCATCAATTTAAATCTGGTAAGATGGCATGCAGAAATTATACAATTAAAAATATGAAACCATAATTTATGAAATAAAGAGCAATTATGATCTAAAGGGTATCAAAATTTACAAAAAAAAAAAAAAAAAAAAAGAAGGCTTATTATTTATTTACTTTATTAAACATTTCTTTCAATGTAAGTTATGTAAGTTGCTTCGTTTTTTTTGTGCTAATACTTTCTCTTTAATTCTATAAACAGACATAATTTCTTGTTCAGTTACAGTTCAAGTCCTGTAATTGCTGTGTCGAGAATACTGAGTAACTTGCCAATCGAAATTTTTTCATTTTCATTAACCTCTCTGTCACTTTCTTCACTATCGGAAGCACACAAGTATAAACGCTTTACTGGCTTTACATGCATATGTAGCAGATGCGCGCATCAAACACGCATGCGTAAGTTTGTGGCTTTGAGGTCTGGATTATAGATCATTCCGGATAATGGACATCTGGATTACAGACTTTGTACTGTATATAACAAGTGACAAAAAATCTCATGACTAAATAAAGCTGGTTAAGAGGAGGGTTATGCAATACAGTAATCACATGTGACATCATAAAATAATTAGTAACAGTGTAATATCATTATTAATTGTATGAATAATACTTAAAAGTAAGAATAGTAAAGTATATTAATGTTTATAATGTAATATAAAGATACAGCCTGTGTGATATTAGTATATAATATAAGTGTATAAATTTGAAAAAAAATTACATGAGTAATACATTCGTGCATTAATAAACTATACGAAAATAATTGATTAAATTACATTAAAATAAATATTACGTTATTCCTGCATTATTATTTAATTGTCACTTTAAAAACATATTTTTAGTTGCTTTTTTCTGCTCCTAAAATTTTATTTTTATTTATTTCTTCAAAAAATTTTATATTTATTTTTTATATTACTGCAAATTGGTAGCTCAGCTTTTTCCATTACTGATATGTTTCTTTTCTACCATTATAAGTTATTCATTAAAAAGAAACATTATTCGACATATGCATTGGAAGTTATAGTGCTAAATATGAAATCAATTACAGTCAAAAGTTGTTAATTCGGACACCCATAATCCGGAATGATCTATAATCCGTACCTCAAAGCTACAAACTTTCTGCGCATGCGTCGCGTTGACGCATACGCATAGGTGTTTACGCGTGCACGTAAGACCTTTACGGCTGCGAATATGCGTGTTCGCAATCGCATAATACGTTTACGCATGCGTGTTGAATGTATAACGGACGGTATAAGCTAAACTAAAATTCTCTTATTCAATTAATGTTGCAGATTGCGTTGTTCCTTAATCTTCGAATTGGATCCGGCTTATTATTTTTTGCAGACTGTTAGAGCAATTTTATAAAAGTAAGCTTGAACTTTTGATTATGTCAAATAGAATTTCCGATATATATTTACTAATATGTAAAGGATCTACAAAACGAAAGCATGTTTTGAAATCCGAAATCTGTTTATCAATTTCACGCTGCTCTACGGCAAGGGGGGGGGGGAAACGCCATGGCGCGCAATGAATTGGAAGTTGATCTGTCAGCACTATCCTTATCTTCAGGGCAGATGTTTTTATTTTATTTGGCTTATAATTTTTTGCTAAATATAGTATTTCATCTCGATGTACTCCGTCTTTGATATGATTTTAATCCAGTTCCTCGTCATTATAATTCACTTTCGATAGTGAAGAAAGTGACAGAGAGGTTATTGAAATAGAAAACATTTCGATTCACAAATTAGTCGGTATTCTCGACACAGCAATTATAGTACTTGAACAGCAGAACTTTGTAACTAAACAAGAAATTATGTCTGTTAAATAGAATTAAAGAGAAAGTATTGTCACATGAAATGAAGCAACTTACATTGAAAGAAATGTTTGATAAAGTGAACAAATAAATATTAAGCTTTTTCTTTTTGTAAATTTTGATACCCTTTAGATCATAATTGTTCTTTATTTCATAAATTACGGTTTCATATTTTTTAATTTTGTAATTTCTGCATTCATCAGTTTAAATCTGGTAAATCTTACCAGATTTAAACTGATGCACGGCTGCCGAAGTCCGGTATCGCCGAAGTCCCTACAAGTCCAGATTAACGAACTTTTGACTGTATTATCTGAGTATTTCAAAATTTCCCAACATAAATACCCGTATTGTTTTTTTCTGCTTCTCTAACTTGTCTTCCAAATTTCCTACTATTTCCTTTTTTGTTAAAAATGCCGTCACCTTTTACTTTAAAGTGAATTTTGCTTATATATTTATCAATTTCACAATACAGTACGAAGTTCCGAGATCCGAACTCGTCGGAACTTCCGCGATTCCAGATTTTTCTGGATATTAGATCATTAATTTAAAACTAGTAAGATGGCTTGTAGAAATCATAAAATTAAAAATATGAAATCATGATTTATGAGCTAAAGGGTATCAAAATTTACAAAAAAAAAAAAAAAAAAAAGCTTAACATTTATTTGTTTACTTTATTAAACATTTCTTTCAATGTAAGTTATTTAAGTTGCTTCATTTTTTGTGGTATTACTTTCTCTTTAATTCTGTAGACTGACATAATGCTAAAAGTCTGTTTATGGCTACCCTTTGGTGATTTTTGGGGGTACATGAATCCTGAGTTTGTGCATCGTGTAGCGTTGATTTTCGTCAAAAATCGGCAGTACACAATGACAAAAATAACAAAGTAAAAGAATTGCACAAACTCAGTAACCTATTCTCCTATTATTTAACCTATTTTCACTTAAAATAACATCAGAGAATAGCATAAACTTGGCATTGCGAACTCCCTTGACTTGGCAATAAATTAAACAACAACTTTTGTACCCTTCAGTCTACTCTAACCAACATAATTTCTTGTTCAGTTACATTGTTGAAGGTCCTGTAATTGCTGTGTCAAGAATTCTGACTAACTTGTCAATCGAAATTTTTTTTTGTTTTCAGTAACCTGTCACTTTCTTCATTATTGGTAGCCATATTTTCTGGATCTAGAATCATACTAGAGATTTTGTCATCCATTAATTGATGATTGAGGTGTATTGTCATCACAATGAAAAACTTCTTTTATATCATCTCCATTTATTACCACTTCTCCATGTTTCTTTACAAAATCCATTAAATGGAGAAAATTTCACCTTTGGTTTGTGTTATTACTAAAACATAGTGGTATCATTAAAATAAAAATACTTCCTTCACTCAGCCCAGATACCGAGCAATCCAGGAAAACTAAAGACAAAACTTGCTCACTTACCTGGGTAGTGTGATGTTGAAACCAATGCTGATCATGGGAAATAAAAACTCTAAGAAGTTGATTTATCTTAATTATATCTACACTAATCTATACATTTATACTAAAATATATACATTATTTAACAATTTCCTGGGAAATTTTTCTGGCCCCTAAAGTTATTAACACACATCTCAATCGTTCACGTCACGAGGTCGAAAGGGAAAACCCCCCCAAAAAAAA